ATTGTACAAGTTCATAATTTTGATATAAATATATGTATAAGTATTCATAGTGCAGTAGTAACGAATAAAGAAAACAAAAGCTATAATACTAACACTGTCGATATCTATGTATAATACATGTACCAATATTCTTGTCCTTCACCGTATATACGATACGAAAGAAGGAGTCTTGTATTTTAAAGGAAATATTAAATTATATATCTGAACGTTAAAAGTATTTATTGTTTACTTTTACAATTAGAATATGTTTAAGATAATGAATATAGAGAAGTTATCTAAATCGGAGGTATCAATGGTGAATGTAATTATAGACACTTCAGTAAATTTTTGTGTCTCATACAGTAAATATAATTCGTTCAATATCGATAAAAAAAGGAGACAAACAGTTTTAAAGTAGCCTTTAAGCTAAACATTTCATCAATTATAATATTATACAGACTTACACCTTTAATATACAAATCTGTTCTTAAAATATTTTCAAGATGTAAGCTATTTATTAATAGCTGCTCACTTTATTATACAGGGTAAGCCAGATGAAATATTACAAGTTGTTTCCGTTGATACCACTGCAGATATCGCCTTAAATTTTGATGATGAAAAATGATTTAAGATATCTTGTCGTGTATGACATTACAGAAAAACTTTTAAAATAAATAAATTGGCTATGACGGTCCTGTTTCATGGTCAGCTCATTCACCATGTCTAAGGTCGTATAATTTATTTTTATGGCATTACATAAAGCATAAAATAATGACTATTGCTCTTGCAACAAAAGAAGATATGAAAATAAGTATACGTACGTATATTCTGCCTATGCACCGATTACTCCAATAATGTTACCAAATAAACGAATCAATAGTCGCGAAAGAAATAATAAATGTTTGAAGGTTCATGAACATCATCCTGAACATTTAATAAAATGGTGCATCAAACTAGAATACGTTCATTTTGATAACTTTCGACGTCTCTCCGAAGTTTCTCTTTACAAAAGGCATAACTCTTTAACTATGCAGAGAGGCCCCATTTGACCCCTAGGAGCACCCTCATCCCTGCCAAGAAAAATTATTTACACGCTAAATGATTAAACCTCCTGCCCCAGTTAATGTAAAAAAAACCTCAAGTGGTTTCGAAGAAAACAGTCGGAATACTTTACCTAGCTCTCCATGTATAATGGTTAAAAAATGTGTTTCGACACTTGGGCCTTTTGTAAGAATTATATTGAACAGAATGGATAGAATGGTAGACACTGTTTAACTATTTCGCGACGGCGATGCTAGCCGTCAATATTACTCCGCTGAATGGGACAATTTTAGATCGTTTCGCGGACGTCGAGTATATCTGAAGCTAGGCGTGAAAGGGTTAAGGACTTACAAGTATAATTAAAATAAAGTACCTATATTTTTCTTAGCAATTTTTACAAAATAATCTAGGTATCTATAAGATTATCTATAAGATTGATCTTAATCATTAAATCTCCGTTGTCACACTTCCTTTCTTAAACTGAGGATTAGACATATGCACCATATAGAATGCTAGTAGCATAAGAATTTGCCACCTACTTGGTAGAAATGTTGAGATTTAACATTGAATAGTATCACATAATTATTCGATGATCTCTGTTCTAGAAGCTACATCGAATTACCATATTTTCGTGTCACGTGCTGAATATTGGTCAGCAGCAGAGACAGTGCATTTGATCGTTGTGCGAGTTCATTAATTATAGAGTCGTGCAAGAATTTCGTGCACGTTTCCTGTAGGTACATGTTCTGTGACCCGGCGATCGCTTCATCCATTATCCTCAGGACAAATTTGTTTTCCGATACAAACGTAGATAGGGGCCGCGAGCGTACGAATTGTACGAACGCTTCGAACCCGGCGCGATCGTAAAGCAATCGCGAAATGACTTGCGAATTAATGAACGTGCCGGCGGTAACGGCAACTTGTTTCAGATAATAGCTGCGCACACGTAACGTTCCAGTTGGTGGATTATTGTTAAAATATGCTCGAAAGTCACGTAGCGTTTGAATGGCACGTTTCATGTATTTCACGGGACGCACTGATGCAAATGGTTAATCCGAAATATTTCGGTTTATAGTAGGTACCGAGTGAATAATAGCTGTGCCTGTTAATCTCTAGACAGATGCGCAAGTTATTAGATACAGTCGAGTCTCATTCTTTTGCATTTCTGCTGGCGTTATATTGAGATTTTTAAATATTTTAGTTAAAACGGACGTTAATGTGTGATCATTCGAAACTTGAATGTTTTTAGAAATTAAAGTTTCGGACTAGCAATAAAGGCGTATGGTGGTAATTTTTTTTTTTTTGACAACTGTCTCTCTTATCAGTAAACTGCAGATTTTATGCATTTATAGCACATTTGATTGTATAAAATACTGCCAATTAATTACTCTTTTCTTTAATAGTGGTTAAACAATCAAGTTCTTCTAGACAGAAATACATATTTAACAGCTACCTTACTGTTAGATGTATTTATTTGTAAAATATTCTGTTTCGGTAATATACTTTCATTGGTTTGATTAACCGTTTGATATAGTCCGGCAAAATCCTGGCCAAAGTGGTGCACGGAAAGCTGTGTTTTCAGTTCAGGATCCCTACTGCCGAGACTGTTTAGATTTTAGCCCTTATCCATATCACCATTATCTCCACCATAAACACACCTAATGTCTAATATAAGACTCGAAATTGACACCACGAGTCAACTCGTGACATTTATGTTTGGCTCAAAATTCTAATCACGAGTGAGGCTCGTCAAAGTATGGCAAGGGGTTAATTTAAAGAACATCGGGATATTCGCTCGCGTATTGGAAATCTAATCTTAAAGAAAGAACGAAATAGCGATGCACAGAATTGATTATATGCAGTATTGAAAGAGGGTCAATGCATGCTACACACTGAAAATGTGGATACCTAAATACAAAAAAAGTGTTATTTATGAAAAAGATTATATTCCCATGCATTCAGACTCTAATAATATCAACATCTTTTAAATGCATAAAAGACAGAATATGGAATCGATATTGTATCCCGAATCTGAAACATATCAGAATATTTCCTGATGAGCACGTATATGATGACGAATGCTTATCTATCATTAAATATTTATTACCTAAAAGTATAAATCCAAACATGTTTCCGATCTCAACGTTCTATACAGAAATAAATTGATCCGTCAGTTTATTCGAGAAAAACATTTCCGTAGAACTCCGTATCGATCGTTTCAAGCAGTCATAATTCGTGCTATACTTCCCATTTCCATCTCCATTAGTAACTGCTTCGTGTCTCACATTCAAACGCGATGGTGATTTCCGCAAACTCGCGACGGCAACGGGGGGGAAATTATAAACGTACATAACTTTTGTCGGAAATCGTATTGAGCGCATCAGGGAACCGTTCCTCGGAACAGCCATTGTCGTCGAATTCAATGCACGAGTACAAGGATTGTGCGTCGCGAACGGAATCCACGTAAACGGTGCACGCACGCTGAAAACTCATTACCGGGACTTCGGAATATGGGGTACGATTATTAAGTGAGAACTGCCATAGACGATTACGTGGTTCCCGCGATAATGGCCAGTTGAATGGGCTTCATTAAGACTCTCTACGAGTCTCAGTCTTTCGCATTCTCCGCGTGAGCTAGCTCGCTCGCTCGTTCGCGTACACGCATTTTTGCTAGCCAGAATGGCGTGTTGCGCTGGTCTTAGAATTTCGTGTACAGGTTCACGTACGTACGAGCACCAGGGGGAGGGGGGAGGCAAGTTCCGAGCAGCAGGTTGCTTGAACTCCAGGGCGCAGGCGTCTATGAATGTTTAAGTGTTCTATCCTCTTCTGGGATCAGACGTAAGCTGCACCAGCTGCAGAGTTCGTCGGTAACGAGATTACAACGTCAGCATGAATGTGCAACTAACCTTTCGTTGTATCAAAACCGATAGCGTACGTGCATGAATTAATGGAGCGGGTCAGCGCATCGGCACAACCGATTAAGGAAATTGCTACCAGCCTGCGGGAAAAATCTTCGTTGGCTGCCGTCGGTGAAACTATTCAAACGCAATCGTTACGAATACAAAGCGAAAGGTTCTCTTACGCATGCAAACTTGAGTAAATTTTATTATTTCCAGTGATTTTTGTATCTGCCTGTAGGGTGTTGGAAAAAGAATTTTTAAAATCATATTAGTATGGTGGAAAATATACGGCTTATTATCATTCGTGTTCGTAGTTTCTTTACTGCTTTCTAGTTTACAATAGATAGATCCAATAATAATTCCAATATTTATTATGCTACAGCAAAAATTCAGACATTCTATGTAAGTTTATTTTTTTTTCAACCTCCCGGCCAAGAAAATGGGACTCGGTTTATAAATATTTTCCCTATTTCTTTCAGTTTCATTACCGCACTTACTCGACTCTTTTGCCTATTTTAATGTTCTAATTACTCCTATATTATTACCTCCTCCTACTCGTTGAAGTCTGTTTTATTAATAGCTTACTGGTACCTTATCATTTCTAAGCTATATCTTAATCTTTGGCTCTATTTTGCACATTTAACCCACAATCCTTTCCCTTTATCTTGTACTTTCCCTCTTTTTCTTTATTAACCTTCTTAACCATTCTACCGCTCTTTCACTTCCTTCCTCGCTTACCACTTCTGTCAACTTTATTCCCCTCTCCAACTCCCTACATTCCCTTACAAGATGTTCTAAGTTTCCGAATCTGTCCCCACATAACTCACATTTTCTTTGCTTATTTTCCTCCCAGTATTAGTTCCACCCTTTCAACGAACCGCACCTTGTTTGAGCCATTATCTGTTAGCTTCCCTACTTTCCCTCTCTTCTTAAATATTGAGGTTGATTTACCGTTCTTATATGTTTAAATCTTTTCTTGTATCTGGTGTCTCTTATCCTGTTATATTGTTCTTGCAGTTGAATATCCCTGTCTCTTTCTTTCAGCTTCTCTGTAATATCTACCCCCTCTACTTGCCTCTGTTAGGCGCCTATTCTACTGAACCTATTCCTTTTCAAATAATTTTCTCTTTCTATTGCACTCCTTGTAGTCAAGGAAATATAAACGAATACTTTTATTCCTCCTGTCCTGTTTTTTTTTAGGCGTTTCTCCATGTCTGCTATCAGTATTGTGAAAACTGTCCAGAACTTCTCTGTCTCTCCCTTATTCACTTTTACTACACTGCTTGTTTCTTGATAAATTTCTCTTACTGCTTCTATTAGCCCTTTCTCTATACCTCTGTTGAACATTTGTTCCCATAGTTGTTCTCTTTTGACGGAGTCGAATGCCGCTTTCAGGTCTACGAAAAAAGCATATACCTTCCCTCTCTTTTTCGTCGTTTCCCTCTGTATTATGTGGTGTAAGATATATGCACTGTCCATCGTTCCTCTTCCTTTTCGAAATCCCGCTTGCGTCTCCGGTAGTATTTTATTTTTCTCGATTTCCTCCTTCAACTTCTCATTCAAAACTGCAGCATATATTTTATATGCTGTGCATAAAAGGCTTATACCTCTATAATTCGCTGCGTCTTCTTGATCTCCTTTCTTGTGCAATGTCGTTATGCACCTTTTCTTCCAGTCTTCTAGAAAGCTTTTCCCTGCCCATACCTCTTTTAAAATCTTTCTCAGTTCCTTCCTTGTATTTCCCTCACTATATATCCATGCTTCATTTTTGATTCCGTCCTCTCCCATCGCCTTTTTCCTCTTCAACTTCTTTATCTGCGCTTCAATTCCTTCGTCCGTGATTTCCGTCTCATCTTCCTTTTCTATAACTCTTTCTCTCCCCCTTCCTTTCCGTCTCTCGTTCGTGTCTACCAATAATTTTTTAAAGTGTTCTCTCCACGTCCTTTTGTCAATTCTGTCGTCTATTCTGGTCTTCCTCTTTCTTTGCTTATTGATGTATGCCGATAGTTGTCTTTCCTTTTTTGCCTTCTTTTTGTCTCTAACATTTCTTCTCTCCTTCCCTCCTCTATCTTACCTTCACACATTTTCTGGAATTCCCTTTTCTCATCTAAATAATCTTGCCTTTCCTTTTTGCCCGCTTTCCACATTTGGTATACTTTTTTTACTCTTCTTTTCCTTATGCTACATTCTCTATCCCACCAACTTTCTCTTCTTATTTTCCACCTCCTGCTGATTTTCTTTTACCCTACTTTATCGTTTCCTACTTCTTTTAACCTCTCCCATGCTCTATTTCTCTCCTTCTCCTCGTCGTACGTTATTTCTCTTGTAGCTTCCTTGTATCTCTTTATTGTCTTCGTTCCAACAAATTTTCTCTTTCTCGATCTCTCTGCTTTTTCTGGGTGACTACCCCTACTCGCTTTTACTACCAACTTCAGCGGCTGATGGTCCGATCCTATTCTCTCATCCACTTGTAACTTTTCCACTTCGTCCAATCCGACCTTGTTGACTATTATATAGTCGATAACTGATGCGCCTCTTTTTTCCACTTGCGTGTATTCTCCTTCTTCGTCTCCTTTTATATTTCCATTGGGTATGTATAGACCTTCTTTTTCCGTCCATTTTATTATTCTTTCTCCTTCTTTGTTCCTTACTTCATCTTTTGACTTTCTACTTGCTCTTGCCTCCTCATTCTGTCCTCTATGTATACTTCCTTCGTTTCCTATTCTGGTGTTATAATCTCCCTCCCACTATCATTACTTCGTCTTTTATCTGCTCTTGTTCCCTCGACAGTACTTGTATGCATTGTTCAGTTCTCCGTTATTGTAGATTACCCATATGTTCCTTCCCTACTTTTACTTTTATTCCTATCAGTCCCTCTATGCTACTCTTTTCTTGCATTATAATTCATCCTTTTCTTACCCCTATTAACACTCCTCCATTTTCTTCTCGCTCCTTGGTACATCTAGTCAAATCCTTGAGGGAGTTTTGCTTCCATAGACTCACAGCCTTTCTGCTCTACCCAGGTTTGTGTTAGACCTACGTAGTCAAAATGTTCTATGTATTTCCAAAAATCTCTGCCCTTCCCTTTTAGTCCTGCAACATTCCAAAATAGCAACCTTCATCTCTCTTTCCTCCCTCCCCTTCTCGCCAGTCTGACTCCCCCTACTTCTTTAATCCCAATCTTTTCTTTTCTTATTTTTTGCATTCTTTGCATTTTGCCCTTTCCTTCCGGCGAGGCTACTACTGGAAGATTTGTTCTCCTGTATTTCTCCTCTTTCCTCATTTCATTCGTACCATTTACCTTGTATATGTATAATATATCTTTCTATACCTTATGTTAACCTTCAATCATTATCCTTACCATTCGTTCTTTCTTTACTTGTTATTTCTCTTAACCTTCTTTGAACTAACCTTTCGTCATCTGTCAAACCATGGTCAATAAATGTCATTCAATTTCATGTTGCTTTTTTAACTCATTACCTCCTGTTTTATCTCCAAACTTTCTAAGTGAACTATCACTATACTTACATCTTGTTCTCTTCCCTTTGTTTCAATCCTTTCCACTCCTTTCTTTACGCTAAATTTTTTTTCTAAAAATTCTTTAACTTTCTCTTTCGCCTCAGTCATCTTTGTTTTTAACCCTTTGATTACAATATTATTTTTCCTCTCCACCCTCTCTTGTTTTTCTAATTTCTTATTAATGACCCTGATCTCTGCTTGAATGTTTTGCTCTCCTCTAATAACTCCTCCCCCTTGTGACACTCTTTGTGTATTCCTTTCCTTCTTTAATTCTTCCAGTGCTCTTCCTACCTCCTTCATTACCTCTAATATCACTGCTTTCCACTCTCCTTCCTTTCTTGTCTGTCCCTCTCTTTCTTTTTCTTCCATTCCCTTTATCACTTTCTGTATTCCGTTGTATAATTCCTCTTCTCTTTTCTTCTATCTACACTCCCTGTTCCATCGTACAGGTACAGTGCTTCATAGCAGCGGTTATTAATTTATAACAAAACTCCAATTTAGCTATTCAATTTCCCGTAATAATGTACGCGTTTATTTCTTGTCCGTTTCACTTCAATAGTGTACCTTTTTAATCTTTTCGACACTTTTATACAATAGACGAGGGTTCCAACATTTTGTCGACAGCCGGTTCCGGTCGCGTAGTACCACCGAGGCGAATAACAAAATCGCCATAAACTTGTACCGTGGGGTGACTCCCGCAACCTCGGCGCGATCAAGCCAAACTTAGCCACGTGGTTTTAATTATTTCCAGGCGTACGTTTTCTCCTGAAGGAACCTTTTCCTCCACCACGAACCTCGGGAAATCCGAGGTATATCCCTACTCCTTTAGAGTTCAACCAATAGGAATTCGTCATTTAGAAAACGTTGTTGACAAAGCATATCGCCAACGAGGGTAAAGTGCGACGTCAGAGGCGCGCCCGAACTATTGTAAATATCAGACTCAAATTAGAACTCACCCGGTGAACATCACACATACGCACACATACACACAATATTGTAAATACAGTCATTAAGAACCAATCAAAGTGTGCTTTATTTTTAGTTTCATTTCTAAGGATTCATTTCTAACACTCCCTTAATTCTAGTTTCTTTGTCACCTCTTTAACATCTGCTTCTACTGTTTTTTCTAATTCTTCCCTTCCCTTATTAATTTCTTTTAATATAGTCTTAATTCTATTTTACCATGTCTTCACATGTTTTCGTTTGATGTGCCATGATTTTGACAATATTACTCCCCTCTAAATCATAATACCTAACCTTCCTTCTTAATTAACTTAAATTAGTAAGTAGAGAAAGAAAATCATTTTAGAGGAGAGAAATGTATAAACAGTCAAATTACGTCAAGAAATAAGAAATTAAAAAATAATAGAGAATCGAGTTACATAACGTGAAAATGTTAATGTACATTTAATTTAAACTCTTTGAAAACCAAACAAAAGGATATCTTCATTCCAGTATTCAGCAATGTCGACAATAAACCACCATGGCGATAACAATAAAAAAAAACTCATTCTTTATCGCGTGCCGAAGAAAGCGGTGAACATATCACTACCGAAAAACACTTGCGTTAATATTTGAAAAAGACGTACTTCCGCGCAATGTGTTTATCCCTTAACTTTAGTACATTACTTCTTTTCCGCGTAACAATCGTGAAATAAAAGTAGCGTGGACCACCGGAGGGGTGCGTTGAATTCCGTGGTAGTAGTTAACAATTGAAATAAACATTTTCGAATTATGGCCGCAGAGCCGTAATTACAAGAGGACAAGAAATAAAGGCCGTTTTCCTCGTCGTATCGTATCTAGAGGACATCCATATTTCAATATACGAGGGGAAGTTTTAAAAAGCAATTCACTTTCAGCACCCTGCGTGAATATGGAAAAGGCAAGCGTCTTTCAACCGGCGGGGTTGAAATGCATTCTCGGAAGTACGCAGTTGCGGAATTATACGTATGTATGTATACGGGGAAGGATCAAAACGTAGGAGAATAGGCAGGTACCGAGCAGTTGCATACACAGCCGACTCCGCTCCACGGAGGCACTTTAGCGCCGCATCACTTATGCATCGCGTGGCCCTCAACTTACAAAGCGATCCCCCGAGATTTGCAGCAACCACCGCTTTTAGCTTTACCGTCGGAAGAAGAAACTGTTTGGAATTATATCATCCGTATCTGGAGGTTACCACGCAGTGCACCTGTTGAACCGTATCCTAATGACATGATTATGAAACTAACGCTGCAAAACGAGCTCTATTCCAGCTTTAAAACCTTAAGCTTTTGGGGTTAGACCACCTTGGAGTGCCTAAAAAAATACTGCTCTCCTGGGAATTTATTTCTAAGTGACAAAAACGTACCATTCGATCAGAATTTATCAGTAAAGACTATTTAAAAATGAAATGACTATTTAAGAATATTTTAAAAATGAAGAAACGATAGCACATGTTTATACCCTATTCGATATTTATGTATAAAAATATCAATGATACATCGGTTGAATTAATTTAAATGTTAGTGGCAAAAGTATATGATCATAGTAACACTCCAACGGTCATAACATACTAGGCTCAACAGTTCCGAATTAATGAACATTAAATGGTTTTATGGTGTTGGCGTTCAGCAAAAAATTTTACAGGAAATTCACAGCCGTCAATGTAGCAGTTTGGTATCAAATCTTCCGATATGAAATATGTGGAAATATATTTTATATGACTCTTTTAGTGAAATGCAAATCCTCCAAAATGATATATTAATTGTATCGATGAAACGTACAGGGATATCACTTTTCAATTATTCAGATTCTGATTTGCCTTATCAATGCAGCATCGAAAAAGTGATACCCGATATGCAACCACGTGGACTGATTAACGAAATCCACTCAACAAAATTTGCGTGAGTTTTCGAAAATATTCCTATCTATTCCCGTGGAGGATATAATCATGCGAAACAAATAATTTTCGTTTTCTCATACATCATTATCCCAAATACTAATACGATTAAAAACGTTACATATTAAAATTTGTTAGAGAAGAAAATAACCGTAATGGACGTTCTTTATTTTTTGTTTATTTATGGTCAGAACCTGAGGATGTTTGTTATATTCTCCTCCGTCGAGGAAATTCCAATTTACGAATTGTATACAATGCAACAGTGGGTTCCTCGCTTGTCCTGGCTAAGTGGACAGTTCAAAGTTTCCCGCCGGAATTCTTGGGCATACATTGCTAAACACGCGCGATCTTGAAACGAGGAGGCTAGACATGTTTTCGTAGATGACGAAACTGCTCCGACTATTTGAGCGGAAGTAATTTCCAAATTGAGTCCAAACTCGAGTCCGACGTCGGCAAGCAAGCGGACAAGCAAGCCCCAACCAACAGGCTCGTGAAGCAAGATGGCTAGCAGGCTTGGCATACGAGCAAACTCTAACTCAATTCACGGCGGTTTAGAAAGTTTCACCAGGGGCCACCAACGGTGTCGTAGAAACTCCCGCCATCGAGCTAGCTGAGAATAGTGACGCCGCCAACCGCAATCATGAAAGCGTATTGACTTGTACCTCCATACATTCAACAATGATAACAAATACAGTAGATTTGAAAACGGTTAAAAATGAAAGAACTAATTTTCCTTGACAGTCACGGTGATATTTAAGGGCCGATTACTTCGAAAGTATCATTATTAAAATACTAATATTAGAGAAACATTTTTGCATATGTACCCTCACGAGCAAACTCGGCTACCACTAGGGGAAAAAGTGATGTAAGGGAAAGACCTCTTACCATTTGGTCCTGGAGTTACTGAAATTTATGCGAAATTAATATTCGGTTTAATATTTATTTCAGTATTTGAAATAAATTTATCAAGCGGTAGGAGGCCCTTACCCCTACGTTACTTTTTCCCTTAGTGTACGTAATAATTTGTATTACATTGGAGAGAAATAATTGCCGTTGGGCATATTAGGGTTACTATTGTCTCTGCTATAATCACAAATCTTGTAGATTTCTTCGACTGTGGCTATAACATGATAAAGATTAGACTTCATAGTATCAAAATGAATTTTAGTAGGGAATAAAGTTTATAAAGTTGTTGTATTAACGATGTGAATAGTGATCGGTCGTTTGTTTCTCACCATACTAAAATAGTCGTTCAGTTTGTTCGACCAGATACTTTTCACCAGAAACAGTAGTAGAATACGTACATATATCCTTCCCATAAACAGAGAACGCTTTGATGAACACTCATAAATCTCATTTTTCATTGATAATATTAAAATTACATCGCTGATAAAATTCGAACGCCGTAAAATGAAAGGTAAGGGATGAAAAAGCGAATATAGGTACTTCTTTCAAAACGCATTGTTACCATTCTTTATCATCAATGGCCAGAGGGTGTTCCTTGTGTTTGAAATATTCAGTGGATGTATCGATTCCTGAATAGGTATTTACAATAGGGTCTTAAGGAATTTAATAATGCACCATCGGCAACTTCCCGCGTAGCCCTTCTTTGTGAGTACCAACTCCAATGTAATCGTTGTACTGTGATCCTTTAATAATTCAATGTAACATAAATTGTACGGTCTCGTAAAACGCCTGAACAACAATTTTTCATTCTTTCAGCAGAACAAAACAATATCTTAATTACATTTAGGTACCGAAAATTCTAAGATCCGGATTAAACTGTAAAACTCTTAAAACGCTTCCGTTACACCCGACTTCGAACTTTCACCCTCATAAAATCACCGGGAAAAACAGAGCCATAAAACTTTCATCGCCACCATACGCATCACTCACAGGTCATCCTTTTCCGCAAACCTTCTCACTCTCACCTTTCCTTCCACCCCCTTCTTATTTTTCACTTTCCAGTCACCCCTACTCTCCAGCCACTTATTTACTCCCTCCAACATTTCCTAATATGGAAAACAATTAACACCAAAACCAATTACACACCAGCCACACCTAAATTTTCTGCCATTTTCTTACACTTCTGTTCGACAAGACACACACCCTCTTGAGCACTACAATCGCACCTTGAGAGGAAAAACGAACAGAATCTCACCCACACTCGTAAGTACACACACTATCACTTGTAGTACACAGTATTGAACTTTATACATACATTAGTTTAGTAACGGAGTGAAAGATTACCTAACGTCCTCACACCTCCTATTAGAAGAGCCCTCACGTCATTAATTTGCCGTGAGCGCAACGGTCATTGCGATCTCGAGTCATGCAAACATTTAAGTCGCGAGTTAGTGCCGTAAATAAATAATTCTTTTCAATCATTCTATCTGCATACATTTTCTGCGCAGCACTATCTATCACTAAATACATCAAGTGTATACAATATTCGTGCAAAAATAAAGTATTTAACGACCATAAAATG